AAAACAAATTTTCTTCTCTTTTCTCTCTATTTCTTCATCACTCTGTTTCGACAACTTTGACAGTAGCTGATCAGTTTTCACCAGCGATCTCTCTGTGCCGACTCGAAAATCCGGCGAATTCAGACTGTTTAGTGATCAGAAGGAGTTTTGTGAGTGTTTTTTTTTCCCTTTTTCACTAATTATTAAGTTATTTGATCAAATTTCTAAAATCAGCTTATATTGAAAAGTGTTTTTCAAAATAAAAATAAAAATTGGTGATTAACAGTTAGAGTTCAGCCAATAAACTTATAAAAATAACTTGAGCAGCAATTATAACTTATGGCCCCATATGTTTTTACTAATATTCAGACGTCCAAATTTGAACACACATCTCAATTTTATTGTATTAATCTTAAGATATCTGAATACGAATATATATATCTATATATATGAATATAAAATTGTTGTATTGAGATCTGAATATTAAATAATTAAGATTGTTCGTTTTTTCAATATCTGAATGTACAAAATTTGTCCTTAATTATAAACTAATAAATAAAAAATTCAAATAAAATACTGAGTAATCTAATACAGTATCATCAAATTATTTTAGAAATTTAATCTGATTGTTGGTGGTGATGGATGGTTGATAGTGATGATTGTGAGTGCCAAATGATGATTGTGGTTGGTGATGATTGATGTTGGTTGATGTCAGTTGTTGTGGGTAGAGGCTAGTGATAATGGTGGCTAAAAGTTAGGGGCAGAGCTAACATTCCGATTATGCGTTTGGCAGAACATAGAAGGTTTTTACATAGATCCCATATTTGTGTTAAAAAATTACTTAATATGTATAAATAACTTATCAAGAACGCAGTAACTTTCTTGTTGTGGAATCTAAAATTCGTAAACTCAAAATTCTAACTCTGTCTCTGCTGATAGTAGTGGCTAATAATGGTTGTAGATGGTGGCCGGTGGATGAGAATAATAGTTAATGGTGATGATGAGTGATCACAATGATTGATGATATATAGTGGAGACTGTCGGTAGTGATTGGTGGTGATGATCGTAAATGATGACTAGTGGTGATTGGTGACGACGTCAGTTGTGGTTATGGATGGTGCTCAATAGTACTCACATTGTTTTCTATGTTGTACTTGTACAGCACGCGCCCATCTAGCAAAATGGAAGGAGCAACTCCTTTAGTGTTATGTAGTCACTTTGTTGTCATGTTGATCCTACTTGTACCAGATACATCAGTGGCTGAACCAAGATCCCAGATAATCCAGCTCATATGTGGAAACAAATCGACGGTTTCCGTCCCAAATTTTGTTGGTACAATGGAAACGTTAAGTGAACAAGTGAGAGCTAGAGGATATGGAGTAACCGTTACTGGCACTGGACCAGATGCTACTTATGGAATTAGCCAATGCTATGGTGATCTTTCATTAATTGACTGTGTCTTATGCTTCTCTGAAGCGCGAACCCTTTTTCCCCAGTGCTTCCCTTATAACGGAGCGCGAATCTATCTTGATGGCTGCTTTATGCGAGCGGAGAATTACAGCTTCTATGATCAGTATTTAGGTCCAGAGGACAGGCGAGTATGCGGAAACAGGACGACAAAGGGTTCATTGTTCCAACAGAATGCTAGGGCAGCTGTTCAGCAAGCAGTTGGAAATGCACCGAGTAATAATGGCTATGCGCGTTCCCAAGTGTCATTTCCCAGGGATTCCAATGATGCAGCTTATGTTCTCGCTGATTGCTGGAAGACTCTGAGTGCGAATTCCTGTGCAGCGTGTTTATGAAATGCATCTGCATCCATGTTGGGATGCTTGCCTTGGTCAGAAGGTAGAGCTCTGTACACTGGATGCTTCATGAGGTATTCTGATACCAATTTTCTAAATGCTATTTCTACCAACGGAAGCTCGTCATCAAGGGGTACTTTTTGTTCTTTTTTCGTCCAGGTTTACCTGTTATTTATCGACTGAACACGTAAATTTTACTTGCAAATCACCATATTGCAGGAAAAGTTGTAGTCACTATCATTGTTGTTAGTTCCGTTGTCGTTTTGGGAGTAGGTGCTTTCATTGGTATTGGTGTCTGGAAGAATAAACTAATCCAGAAGAAGAGAAAAGGTAAATACTTTTGTGCCAAATATCAATGATGTACATATATTGCAGCTTTATTCGAAAACTTAGAATAAAAAAAATTGAACTTGTTAGGTGCAAATGATGCCGAGAAATTAGTGAAGATACTTCATGACATCAGCTTGAACTTCAAGTATTCGACGCTTGACAAAGCCACGGGGTCATTTGATGAGGCCAACAAGCTCGGGCAAGGTGGATTTGGCACGGTTTATAAAGTATGTAATAGCTGAATGTAGTACAATTCAATATAATACTTGAAGTATTGGAAATTAAACCGAGTCTGAGGCGTGATTTGTTGCAGGGTGTTTTGGCAGATGGGAGAGAGATCGCCATCAAAAGGCTGTTCTTCAACAACAAACACAGAGTTGCAGATTTTTATAACGAGGTTAACATAGTCAGCAGCATTGAGCACAAAAATTTGATAAGGTTATTGGGATGCAGCTGCTCAGGACCGGAAAGCCTTCTTGTATACGAGTTCCTCCCTAACCAGAGTCTGGATCGCTTCATATTTGGTAAGTAAGGGTCATCCTCACTATTTTATTTACGCTAAACTCATGTTATCATCACAGAAACTAAAACTAAAAGTGAAAATAAGTAACCACCATCGTGCTAAGACTAAACGTCATGTTTTCACATAACCATGCCAGAGTGATTCTAACTTTAAAATTTGACAGACCCTATAAAAGGTAAAGCTCTAAAATGGGAGAAAAGATTTGAGATAATTATAGGTACAGCAGAAGGATTAGTATACCTACACGAGAACACAAAGACACGAATAATACACAGAGACATAAAGGCAAGCAACATCCTGTTGGACTCAAGGCTCCGTGCAAAGATTGCTGATTTTGGATTGGCCAGGTCATTCCAAGAAGACAAGAGTCACATAAGCACTGTCCTTGCTGGCACATTGTCAGTATTTCTTCGTCTCGTCTTCTATTTTTTCGCGTAAAAGTACACAAAAAATGCAAAGACTAATATGGTTCAATAATGCAGGGGATATATGGCTCCAGAATACTTGGCACATGGTCAATTAACAGAAAAAGCAGATGTTTACAGCTTTGGAGTTCTTCTACTAGAGATTGTTACTGGAAGACAAAATAACAAGAGAAAAAAAGACGAAGATACAGTCAGCATAGTTTCCGATGTAATTTCTGATCATTTCTCTCTTGAACCAAATTTTAAATCTAGGAAAACATTTCTGTTCATTGGCCTTAACTTTATTGGATGAAATTCACAGGTGTGGGAGCACTTTGAACGCGGGATAGTGGAGGAGCTGTTCGATCTGAATCTCATGTTGCATAACTGCCATACAATCAATGTACAAAATGAGGTTGCGAGAGTGTTACATGTGGGACTTTTGTGCACTCAAGCGATCCCAACGTTACGTCCATTCATGTCTAAGGCATTAAAAATGCTCGTCAAGAATGACGAAGAGTTGCCTCCTCCTACTAAGCCACCATTTGTGGATGAGAAAACCATGGAACTTCATGACCCTTGGGAGGATTACTCACTTAAACAAGGCAGTTCTTCTTCAATTGCCAACTTATCTCACAGTTCTTTTTACCCCAGATGATGATATCTCAGTCCCCTGAAATTGAAACATAGATTATTGGCATATACATAGACACAGTCTAGTCCCCTTTGGTTGCAAGGGTGTTCTATGTGAGTTCGTGAAGTTTGTCGTGTACAAGATATGTGAAGTGTAGTTCCTAAGTCTATATACACTTAAACTTGTATAAAGTTGAATAAGTAGACACGTGAGTTCTATATGACATAATTAATGCACGTAGGACACAAGCGTAGGACGTGTGTGTCTATTTGTTCAACTTTATACAAGTTTAAGTATCTACTTGTGCACACCAAAAGTTGGAGGACATAAATGTGAAATGACGCCAAGTTAAATGACATATTTATATATTGTGCCCTACCTTTGATGGGTTCTTATATGGTTTCTTTGAACTAGTCATTTGAGGTCTTGGACAGAGATGACAACTTTGAGTATGCACATTTAAACGCTTCAACTCGTCTCCACTGTGTCAGTTGAGTCGTAACATTATTGGTTGACTTAAGCCTTGTAATTTATCATGGTTAAGTAATAATAAGGTCAAAATTCACATTTGTATTTAGTTTTTATTTTAAATCAATATATTTTATCCTGAATAAGTAATAACATGTCAAAGATCACAAATTCTAAATTCTTTTTCATTCTTAAACCCGTATCAAATCAAACTATGTCACATAGATTTAAACAGGGGAGTATCTTTTGTCTTCTCCTTTTTTTTTTTGGCAGTAATGGGAATTTTCATATATAAATCCAATAATCAAATAGGCAGTAACTGTTACTCTTTGAAAAATTCAAACAAATGATCTTTTCAACAAATTATTTCCTCTTGTTGACTTCTCTCTCACAAAGAAAAACCAATAAAAATTGCGGTGGAGGGGTAACTACTTCATCTATAATTAATCAGAAGGTTTGGGTTCGAGCATTCTTGGGTATATAATTGTCTTTGTTAGAAAACGTATTACCCCTAATGAGGAACTACTTCCCGATATCAATTCAAATTCAATCTGCTTCAATATGAATACCGGATACTCGACTGAAAAAACAAAAAACAAAAGTGAAAGAAAAAAAGACTTCTATTACAAAACTGCTCTTACCATTTCCTGTTTGACCCATTAATTAAAAAATTCCCTTTTGTCTCTTTTATTCAACATTTTTCTTCCCATTATCTATCAGCCTCATCTCTTCTGTTGACTTCTCTCACAAAAAAATAAATAAATAGTCGCGGTGGAGTGGTAAGTACTCTTTCGTCTTTAATCAGAATTTTCGAGTTCGAGTGTAGTTAGGAAAAAAGTTGTCTTTATTAAGCTTTATCTCAGATACATCAGTGGCTGAATCAATATCTCAGATAGTCCAGATCATATGTGGAAATGAAACGGGGGCTTCCGTCACAAAATTATATGGATACAACGAAAAACATAAGTCAACAAATGAGAACTAGAGGATATGGAGTAGCAGTTACCGGCACTGGACTAGATACTAACTATGCACTTGCCCAATGCTATAGTAATCTTTCTTTAGTCGACTGCGTCTTATGCTTCTCTGCAGCGGAAACTCTCCTGCCCCAATGCTACCCTTATAACGGACGAAGAATTTATCTTGATGGATGCTTTTTTCGAGTGGACAATTACATGTTCTATGACCAGTATTTAGGTCCAGAAGACAGGCATGTATGCGGAAACAGGACGACAAAGGGTACATTGTTCCAACAGAATGCTAGGCGAGCCGTGCAGCAAGCAGTTGCAAATGCACCGAGTAATGATGGTTATGCACGTGCCGAAGTGTCAGTACCCAGTCCTTCCAACGAGACAGCTTATGTTCTCGCTGATTGTTGGAAGACACTAAGCGCGAATTCCTGTGCAGCGTGTTTGCAAAATGCATCTGCATCTATGTTGGGATGCTTACCTTGGTCAGAAGGTAGAGCCCTTTACACTGGATGCTTCATGAGGTATTCTGATACAAATTTTCTCAATGATACTTCTACCAGTGGAGGCTCGTCATCAAGGGGTACGTTTTGCTCTTTTTTCGTCCTGGTTTACCGGTTATTTATGAACTAATTTTTACTTTCAAATCACCATAATGCAGGAAAAGTTGTAGTCATTGTCATAGTTGTTGTAATTAGTTCCGTTGTCGTTTTGGGAGCAGCTGCTTTCGTTGGTTTTGGTGTTTGGGAGAACAAACAAATCCAGAAGAAGAGAAAAGGTAAATGCTTTTGTGCCAAAAATATCAATGATGTACATATTGTTGAGTATATATCTTGCGATTTGCACTCAACTGTACCGAGACAACTTTCAAGAATTAACTTGAGGCGTTGTGGCCTACTCATGTTTTTCCTCGGAAATTTGAACTTGTTAGGTGCAAATGATGTTGAGAAATTGGTGAAGATCCTTCATCAAAACAGCTTAAACTTCAAGTATTCGACACTTGACTATCCTTGAAAAAATTGCCAACACGCGCTAGTCCCACAAGATAGTGCCACGTAGGCCAAAAAGGGGTTGAAAATTATATATAAAATAAGTTCAGGGGGGTAATAGGACCTTAGTAAAGGTTAGGTGTGTCTCTGGGATTTCGGGCATAGGCTGGGAGGTACTTATGCATTTTCCCTTAAAAGAATGAACTAATAACTTAAATGTTAAATTATTATAATACCCCCAACTTAAAACACCAAATGTAGTATATCTTCTATATTTTATATTGTATTATATTTATTTATGTGTATTATATTATATATTATATTAAAGTTAGACAACTTTTCACATTGAAGGGTTGTGATATTTTCGAAGAGTTATAAATTTTCCGATGAGTTGTGACTTTTTTGAAGGGTTGTGACTTTTCTATAGGGTTGCGACTTTTCCGAAGAGTTGTGACTTTTCTGAAGGGTTGCGACTCCGAAGAGTTGTAACATTTCCGAAGGGTTGCGACTTTTCCGAAGATTTATGACTTTTCCGATGAATTTTGACTTTTCTGAAGGGTTGTGACTTTTCTAAAGGTTTGTGACTTCTTTTTGATAAGGCACCACGAGCAATTTTTCATACACTACCCTCTGTTGGCCATAAAAAAAAAGGGGCTTCATCACTTCTATATTTTTATGATAAGAAACAATATGCACATACTAATACCACACATGTTTAACTATAAATGGACAGGTTTCCTCACATTTTTAAACTACGGTTTTTTATGTTTTCTATTCTTCTCTTCTTAAAACCTCAAGTTTGATTTATAAACGTTGACAATCTCAAAGTTCAGTGAAACTAGAACACTCCATAACATGAATGTTAAATTAATCTAATACTCCAGCTAAAACATCCAATTTAGTATATCTTCTATATTTGATATCAATATTTATTTATATTTTATTATATTAAAAGTAAGAACACCTACAAAACAATAATAACAAAGTAATGCACTATGGGGAAGGGAGTAGAAAGTTTATTTAAGATGTGTAACTAAGAGGTTTTAAGAGTGACTAATTTTTTATTTAGCAATATTCATATTATTTTTTTAAAATAGTGTGGTACATGGTTTGATTTTCACATGCAACGCACGTGTGTCAAAACTAGTAATTATAATGATAGAGGAGGTAGGTGTAGTATCAGCTGCTAGTAGTGATTAGCAACGATGATGATTGTGATTGTAGAGGTGGTTAGTGATGGTGGTTGGTGATTGTGGATATATAGAATGAAAAGTATCTCGTTTGATCCGTTTCTCAAAAAGCTTTGTAACAATTTTCTAAAAAGATTTGCAATCAAGCAAGCAATTTGTAAATAAATTTAAAAAGTCTTACAACAACTTCCTAAAATGCCTTACTCTTTTTTTCCTTCATAAATAGAAAGTTACATCAATTTCTAGTAAGGACGCATGAGAAGCCTTTATAGTACCACAAATTTTATATCTATTTTAAGACAAACTTCAAAAAAATTGCATCCACACAAAGAATTATCACATGTCAAAGATCACAAAAATATATATTTTCTTGTTAATTTTATATCAAATCAAATTTGTCACATAAATTAGAACTGAAGAATATATTTTCTGTTCTCCTTTTTTCTTCTCCTTTGGCAGTGAAAATACAGTAGAAAAAGACCCTTGTCGACTCGTCTTTATTTTGAAATTTCAAACAAATAATCCTTCCAACAAATTTTTCAACAAATTTTCCTCAGGTTCACACTTCACACACACACAAAAAAAAAAAAATGGTAGAATAATAAATATTTTTTATTTTTAATTAGAAATTTTGAATTCGAACTCTTTCTTAGAAAATATTTTTTTCCCCAATATAATTTTCTTCAGCATGAGTTTAAAGTTAGTCCACTCCAATATAGATATCGGACTGAATTACTTTCTTTCCGCGATATAATTTTTTTTTCAACATGGTTCAAATTTAGGTCACTCCAATATAAATATCGGACGTCAACTCGGAAAACCAACAAAAGTTGGAAGTAGAAAAGTCTTCCCTCACAAAACAACCCATTAATCAAATATGAAATTGCCCTTCATTTTTCCTATTTTCTCTCTGTTTCTACAACTTTGACAGCAGCTGATCAGTTTGCACCGCCGATCTCTTTTCTCGACTCAAATCCGGCGAGTTCAGAGCTCATAAAAACTTAGTGAGTATTCTTTTCTTCTTTCTATTTTCACTGAGATTCGATGGTTGTGGGGGCGGTAAGTAATGATTCGTCCTTAATAAGAGGTATCGAGTTCGAGCTTTAGAAATGAAGTTCTCAGTGAGCTCTTTAATTATGTGAAATGAATAAAAATGTCGTCCCCTAATAATTTGATCCAAAAATACTCTTATGGTTACTTAATGAGTTAAAAATGTGCTTGCTTTTATTTTGCATTACAATTATCTATCATTCACTTAATAAAATAGCCTGTGGGGCTTGATTTAAAAAAAAAAAAGAGTCCCTTTTCAAATAATTTTTTTTTCTTTTTAAATACATTTTTTCGTAATGATGAGTTTTTAATTAGAAAACATTCATCCTACTTAATTTGAAAAAAAATTAAGAATAAAATATTTTCTATTTTACTAGATTTTTTTTTATGGTTATCTCAATAAAAGTGATGACAAGGTTACTATGAGAGAATACAATAATTATTATGAAGGAATACTGATAAAAAGATTACTTTTAAAGAAGACTAGATTATAGGTTTAGCAAACATAAAAATCATATTAGCACTTTATAGCTATAATTTTGTTAATTGCATTGCTATGGAGCATCAGATTTGTATAAACTCGCAGGCAGCATCTGATTGTATAAAATCGCAGGCATCTGATTTGTATAAATCACAACGATTTGTATAAATCGGGTGTCTGTGTCGATGAAAACTGTGTTTGTATATGTATATGTTCTTTGTGTTTGTATATCTACATAAAATTTGAATTTGTATACAATTGAATCGAGTTAAAACAATTGTATTTGTATATCAAACCTCTCTCTCGCTTTATACAAACACAAACCATATGTTGTATTTTGTATAATTTGTGTTTGTATAAAGTGAGAAAGAGAGAAAGACAAAAGAGAATTGGACATGAGAAGATTTGTATTTGTACAATTATAATTGTTTAAGACGAAAAGATATGTATTTGTATATACAGTTCACTCTCGCTTTATACAAACACAAACACAATTTATACATTTATATTTATATAAAGTGAGAGAGGCGATGGAGAGTGGCAAGCGAAATTCAGGAGAGTGGCGAGCGAGATTCAGGGGAGAGAGGCGAATGACAAAGTATTTGCTACGAATTAGAATTAAATGAAACTGTGGTTATAACATTTATTTTGAATTAATAATTTGCTATTTCATACAATTTTCTCTTTAAAGAAACTTTATTCTTATTTTTCTTCTTTTAAAATCACTTTAACTAATAAATAAGTAGGAAATAATATTTTTCTTTTCTTAATCTCATTTTAACAATTAAAATAGAATAACTACATGTATCATTTTAATTGATAATATGGGTCATATATATAAGATCATAATAAGTGGGTCACTAATTTTCATAAGCTAACTATAAAAAATTTCTACTAAAATAAAAAAATATATTTTTAGTTCTTAATTTTTTTTATAAATTGAAGTAGAATAAACATTTTCTTATTAAAAAGATCATCGTTAGGAAAAGAATGTGTTTAAAAAAAAAAAAACTAAAATATTTATTTGGAAAAGAGCATTTTTGACTCATTAAGTAACAATAAGGACATTTTGGGACCAAACTATCAGGTGAGGATATTTTTGTTCATTTACATAGTTTAAGGGCATTTTTTATCCTTTTCTATACATAAAATAAAATTCTATCCCTATATATATATAGTGTAATTTCTCGACAAAAAGGGGTCGATACCCTAGCTCCGTCTGTTACCACTAAGGATGTAGGGGAATTCCTTAGTATTGGTCTCAAGTCCTGCGAAAGCTCTCGTAGAAAGCACTTCCCTTTCAGGGATGTCAGGATCTGAAGTTAATTATGAATTTTGAACTTTCCACAAAATTCATAGCTCGTTTTAATTATTGGATTTCCTCCACCTTCAGTTAGAGATTTCAAATTCAAGTTCTGAAAATGAAGAAGGCCCAGATAGAGACGCTTTCCTTCAAAGACGAAATCAGTATTTGAAGTTTATGGATTCTACGACTAACGTGTAAATTAAGTTGATAAAAAAAAAATCTATTAGCAATTATCACTTTTGACTTTCTGCAACATGCATGTTATAATTGCCTAAATGCAATTCCTTGGACCATCAGAATGGAATAATATTTAGAGCCCATTTGGATTGATATAAAAAGAGCAATTTTCACATATAACAAACATAAAAATCATAAAAATAAGTTGTTTTTAAGTCAAAAAAATAAAAAGTCAAATAATAAAAAGTAGGGGAAGACCTACTTTTGATTTTTAACCTTTTTAAAGTCATTTAAAACTTATTTTAAGTTATTTTTAACATTATCAAACACTTTCAAAAACTAAAAATTACTTAAAATAGGTTTGACCAACTTTTAATTCAATCCAAACAGGCTCTTACTTCCTATTTTTCATAATTTATGTATTTTAATTTTTATTTAGCATAAAATTTAATAATGCAAGATTATTTCTTACAAAATATAGTAATCATAAATTAAAGATTTGTATAATGTGCTAAAATATCTCTTGAACTGGTGGTTTAGGGGGAAAGACTGATAGTTAATTAATTTCAGGGATCCTTAACAGTGTCAGTTGATAGTGGTAGTTGGTGGTGGCTTCTGATAATTGTGGTTGATGTAATAATAGCTAATGATGGTGGTGACTGACACCGGTGATTGGCGATATATAGCAGTGATTGATGGTGGTGATTTTTTGTAGTGACTAGTGTCTATTATGGATGGTTGGTAGTGCTTGATGGTTATTGTGACAAAATTGGTAGTGATGATTGTAACTAGGGGCTAGTGGAGGTTCATCTGAACCCCTT